ACATTTGTTTGGTTGTTTTTACCTTTCATTGTTTTTCGTTAATTTTATTTGTTTTTTGTTATATTAAGTTGCTTCTCGTGGCTTTTGTTCATTTTATTATTGTTTTCTTATTAACACATTTATTGATACCTTTATTTGTTTGTAAATACCCTTAATATTTTCTTGTTACTTTTATTTAATGATACATTTTCATGATTTTGTTATCTTTACTTGTTTGGTGATATCTTTATATGTTTGTTACCTTTGCATAACTCTTACTATTTTTTTTGTCTATTAAATTATTTATTTTTTTTTCATTAGATTGTTATTTTCTTGTTACATTTTCATTATTTTTTGTTAGCTTTGCTTATTTCTTGTTAGCTTTACTTGCATTTTTATTGCATTTGTTCATTTCTTATTACCTTTATATGTTTTTCCCCTACCTTTGTTTGGTTTTTATTACCTTTCATTGTTTTTTGTTTACTTATCCATTTCTTGTTACCTCAATTTACTTTTCATGTCTTTTGTTCATTTTATTACCGTTTTCTTTATTAACACGTCTATTGATAACTTTATTTGTTTGTTGATGCCTTACTTTTTCATTTCTTTTATTTAATTATAGTTTTTCGTGATTTTTTATCTTTATTTGCTTGTTTATAGCTTTATGTTTTTGTTGCTTTCATATAACTCTTATTATCTTTTTTGATTATTAACACATTTATTTGCTTTTTGTTATATTTGTTATTTTCTTGTTACCTTTACTTGTTTTTTCATTATATTATTCATTTCGTGTTACCTTTATATGTTTTCCCTATTTTTGTTCTGTTGTTGACTTTCATTGTTTTTCATTAATTTTATTTGTTTCTTGTTACCTTAATTTGTTTTTTTTGAGGCTTTTACTCAATTGATTACTCTTTTCTTTATTAACACATTTTTTTATACCTTTATTTGTTGGGAAAAATGTGTCGATGCCCCAAAAGCAAAAACTTCATATGACGGTGCCCCTTGTATTTCCCCCATGTGGATAAGCCCCAAAAAGCAACGTCTAATATTTTCAGGCCTCTCCACGTCAGCGTTATATAAAAGAGCAATTGTATTTTGAAAAAAACCCTAGTTTGCCCGTCTCCTTCGTCCCCAGACGCTTCGTCCCCAAACGCTATATCAAGTCACGTCCCATTAAATGCAAACTGTTGTAAGAAATGGAGGGAAAATTTCCCCCTTTTTTCCTCTATCATGAGCAATAACTATTTAGTTCTCCATTATTCTTTCCTCAGACGAAAATTCTTTCCATTACTCTCTCTATATTACTCCTCTTTGTCCTAAATTCGATCCATTACTTTTACCTCCACTTCATAATGACTGAAAAGGACATCATCTGCATTATCGCTTCGGGGGATAGAACAGTATTCATGAAGATTAACTCTTCAACCACCATTCTGGATCTAAAATTTGATGTGTCATAGATGTTAGATCTTCCATATGATTCATTAAGTTTGTCATACAAGGATGAAACAAATGAAAGCTTCAAATTCCCCATTGAGAGCGAAGATGATTTGTCGTCTATGATGAAGCATTGTCATAACAGAGGATTAAAGGAGGTTCACATGCAAGTTTTCAAACAAATAGAGGATTCTTCAAGTTCGACAAGACATGTAGGGGTAATGATTTTTTGATGCTAAGACCAATATTCAAGACGTTAATTGTAAAATCAGTTAATGTTAGTTCATGTTAGTTCTATGTTTGGTGTAATTAGATTTTAGCTCTGATTTGAGCGTACGTTAGCTCTAATCGATTTCATGTCAGTTCTAACCGCTATGAATTCTAGTTACAGCTCTATGCGAGGTCAAATTTGTTAGTTCTAAATGATATCTTGTTAGTTCTAACCTATTTTTTTGTCAATTCTATATCCAGTTTTATTTTAGGTCAAGTATGTTAGTTCTAATCGATTCTATGCTAGTTCTAAACGTTCTATTGTTAGTTCTAATCGATTTATTGTTAGTTCTTGTTCTACGTGAATGTATTAAACAAGTATGTTAGTTCTACTAGATTTATTGATAGCTATAATCTATTAATTGTTAGTTTCAATCAACTTATTGTTAGTTCTAATCGATTTACTATTAGTTCTAGTTCAAATTTTGTGTTAGGTCCAATATGTTAGTTCTAAACGATTTCATGTTAGTTCTAATTGAAATTCTAGTTCAAATTTTGTGTTAGGTCCAATATGTTAGTTCTAAACGATTTCATGTTAGTTCTAATTGAAATCTTGTTAGTTCAATTCAATATGTTAGTTCTAAACGATTTCATGTTAGTTCTAATTGAAATCTTGTTAGTTCAATTGGATTCCATGCCAGTTCTAACACAAACAATTGTTGTTTTTGCATTTTTCTTATTTGTGTTATTTATTGATGTTTCTATTGTTTTGTTTATGGTTATTTATTTATGTTCTTTATATTTGCAACGCTTTCAGCAGTATGTACTCAAAAAGTATAGAGTGTGGCCCGTCGTTGTCAACGCCCACATATGTTTCAGATAGGATTCCTAATGACAATCCTTCTAGAGTTAATGTTCTGATGATTGATAACATGATTAGCAGATTAGAGAGGATTCCTGCTTGGTGGCATACTGCTTTAACCGGTGAGGGACAACGGTTTGAGAGTGCGAATGAATTAAGATTGGCTTTGCTATACTATTCCATGGCTAAAAAATTCGAGTACTTATTTGCCAAGAATGAACCGAAGCGTATTCGAGTCGTTTGTCGGTTCAAGGAAGCCCAAAATTGCCCGTGGATGTTATTTGTCTCTCCAACACAAAATGAGAACAGACTTGAAATCAAAACATTCGTGGACAACCATACTTGTGGGCAGCATAGCAATAATGCGGGTCAATCTAGGGCCTCTTGACAATTCATTGCGACTTAAGTACTACCCACGTTAAAGGTCCAACCGGATTTACGACCTATCGACGTACAAAAGGTGTTCTAAGTTCGTATGGGCTTAGGGTTGATTATAGTAAGATATGATGGGGTAAAGAAAGAGCACAAGAGTAACTATATG